GAAAGAAAGAAAGAAAGAAAGAAAGAAAGAAAGAAAGAAAGAAAGAAAGAAAGAAAGAAAGAAAGAAAGAAAGAAAGAGACATACAGACACAGAAGTGGTCACTCACAGCCATCGACTTCAACGTGATTTGCTCATAGTAGTGTATGGTCTGCTTCTTGTTGGAGGAATCTGGGTATCCAAAGCCAGCGATATGTACCAAGTCACAGAAGTGCAATGCTAAGGTGATGGCCACTAATCCTGTGGTTGGTTTCTAGGGCAGAGAGAACAAAGTGACAGGTGATGTTTTGTGCTGGACCGGAGTCCTGCTTCATCCTGTCCCACTAAGCCATTCAGTTGGTTAAGATGGAGATCGACTTGGATCCACACAGACCAAAGAAACCCAAGGCTTTCTGCTCATATGAGACTCCTTTTCAGTTTCTCATTTCCCTTTCCCTGGCTGTCTGTTTACAGCAGCATCTCTGACCGACCACTGAGATTCTCTGAACGGAGGATGCTGGAGATCATACTTGGGTCCTTCTGCTTTCTAGGTCACTGACCCCCTAGAAAGCTTTGCTTTGACTCCTGAGTTTTCTGCCAGCTATTTGCTCATATACTTGCAATCATGCTTAAAGAACTAGGCAGGGGCACTAGTTTTGAAAAACAAAACACGACGAAACCTTCAAATATCAGGATTCCCAATTCTGTGTATACACTGATGGAGGTACAGAGTTGTTGAGCAAGCTCGATGGTGTTAAGTGCCATCCAGTCGCAGCCAACTTATGGTGACCCCCATGGAGTTTTCAAGACAAGAGAACGGCAGGGGTGGTTCACCATTGCCTGCCTCTGCATAGCAACCCTGGGCTTCCTCAGTGGTCTCCCACCCAAATACTAACCGGGGCTGACACTGCTTAGCTTCCAGTATCTGGAAAGATTGGGACAGCCTGCCCTATTCAGTTCAGGGCAGAGCAAGCACTGCTCTACTTTAAAAACAGCTTTCAGTCCAAAAATCTGAGTCCATTTTTTTGGCAGAGGAGTGACTCTTCACCTTTTAAGCTTCAGCCATGAAACTGCTTCCCGGGTGTGTCCGGCCAAAGAAAATGGTTCTGACGTTCTCAAGGAAGAACTGAAGGTGAGACACTCAACTTGGCAAAATCTAGGCAAAGATTACAACTGTCTGATCAGGAAGCTGCCCACTAGGAAGGAATCAACACTGCCTATCTGTTTATGCACAGAGGAGACTGGGTGTCTTCAGACTAGTGATCAGAGCGCACATGATATGTTCCTCCATACCAAAAATAAAATAAAATTCCCTGCACACAAAAAACGACCAAATCGTTAATAAAGGGAAAGCTGCCATGCTGGTTTTCTATGGGAAGGGATTTTTGTTCTGCTTCCTCTGAGCCTTCACTGGCAGTCTGAAGTGGTACAGCCCAAACACGGATTTACCATCTCAGCATGACCTAAATCTTGGATGTTTTATTTATTCATTTGATTTGTAGACCGCCCTCCTCCCAAAGGGCTCAGGGTGATACACAACATTCAATAAATACATATACTAATCAATCAAAAATAATTAAATTCGGTTAAAACCATTCTAACGTTATCTTTGAAAACCTACTTGAACTGATCTATGGTTCCCACGTCCTCCCGCCCAATTTCTTTTTCTATATTTACTAGTACTGAAGTTTATTCTTTATCTGGTTTTCTCCCTACAGGGACCTAAAGTATCTTACAAGAGAAAGGGGGGGGGGGGAGAACCTATATAAATAATCAAGTAAACAGAAAACAAACCAAACTAAAAAAAAAAGAAGTAAATCTAAAGTAGCATTTAATTTAGTTTTCATTTTATTTAAAATTAGACTTTCTATCCTGCCAACCTGTATCTGACAAAAGGAACCTTTGACTCTTGAAAACTCAGACCCCGAAAATCCTGTTGGTCTTTAAAAGTGCAACCGGACTCAAATCCTGCTCTTCTACCGTAGACCAACACGGCTACCATCTGAAACTATCCTGCCAACAACATTCACAAGTTGTGCCCCTCCAAAAAACCCACATGGTAGCACATTGTGTGGGAAAAGTCCAAGGAAAGGTATTTGGGAAACAAGCCCCAATTGAAGGGAAGTAGGGGAACTCCATGTCCCACGGGAGGTCTGGTCCTTAGTCCATTCTGAAGATTCTGGGAGGAGGAATGCCTTTTGCTCACCTCAAAACTCAAACCCAAAGAACATGTTCCGTCCCTCTCTTATGCTCTCTTACCTGTTTAATCTTCCGCAGGTGTTTCATTGGAAGTTTAAGTAACTTAGCAGCAGTTATTTCCATGAAGTAAGGGTTGAGAATTCGTATTTGCTCAGGATTTGCATCCCAGATGAGTGGGGGCTGCTTCCAGAAGCCCTTCCGAATCTAAGGGGGAGGCAAAAAGAGAGGAGCAGCACCAGGCTTTTTGGCTCTCCAGAGAAGAGCCAGAGCTGCCATGAAGAGTCACTGGGAAGAGAGACAGAAAAGCAATGTAGACAGACTGCATAAGAGTTTTCTGACGTTGCACTGGAATATTTGGAATGTGAACCTCCCATGATTTAGCTTGGAAATCTCTCTCTGCAACTCTTGATTGCCTGCAGCTTAAAATACCTCTGAGCATATGCAGAGTGTTGTCTCATGCCCCATTAACTGCCTCATCAGGCGTTGTTATATTTGTGTATGCAATCTCCCTCTGTGGTACATTATGCCCATTTCACAGGTGGAGGGGTTAGCCAGAGACCTTATTCCTCGCACAAGGCCAGGCAGTGTGATCATGGCTGAAACAGCACTTGAATTTTGGCCTTCTAGATCCAAAGCCAACACAACCTCTGCAAGACCATACAAGCACTCAGTAACTACCTGCCACACTTCTGAGAGCCAGTTTGGTGCAGTGGTTAAGTGTGCGGACTCTAATCTGGGAGAACCGGGTTTGATTCCCCACTCCTCCACTTGCACCTGCTGATGTGACCTTGGGTCAGTCACAAGCTCTGGCACAGCTGTCCTTGAAAAAGAGCAGTTTGTGTCAGAGTTCTCTCAGCCCCACCCACCTCACAGGGTGTCTGTTGTGGGGAGGGGAAGGGAAAGGAGTTTGTAAGCCGCTCTGAGACTCCAAGTGAAGGGCGGGGTTTAAATCCAATCTCTTCTTCTTCTTCTAGTGTTAAAGGGAAGGTTTCTAGGCAAAAGGAACTCCA